GGAATCTTCGCCCTCACATCGGAGAAGAAGATCAGAGCTAGCGAGACAAGAAAAGCAAAATAGGCGATTGAAGGAGAAAGATTGGTGGATGGCCGACAGTGAATCACCGGCCTTTTTTGGCTTTCTGTAGACCAATCTCGCATTCCAATTGACCTTCCCTTTTGGCTTTATATAACACAAATGACAAAACCCAAAGATCTATTGTGGTGTTTGGCGTGTTCGTGTTGCCGCACCTTTTATCCATCACCTTCTTCCGTCTCTTCCAATATAGTCAAATGCGCGTTTCTACGGAGAAGCGGAAACATGAGTAAAAATGTAAAACATAAAAGCGTAAGTTTTTGTGTATAATCTAATAAACCTTGAACAAAATTAATGTCTCATTTAAAAAAGGTCACAACTCATGCAAATAATCTAATTTGAAACCTCTTAATAATGAAGCAAACATACAACTAAACCAATAATGCAACAAGGAAATAATGAGACTTCTTCATTCATAAAAAATATAACCAATTAACAACTACAACTCATCATCAGTCGTTTTGCTTCAATATGGATATCAAATTAAACATGATTACTAAGGCATATTTAAGTATAAGGTTCTTCATCCATAGAACGAGAGAGATTTATAGAGAATGAAGGTGCAAAGATTTGAACTCTCATTCATCTCCTTCGCTTCCCCCTTTTCGGTCTGTTCTTTCCTCTCCAACTCCTCATACCCTCATTACCACCAACATCAAACCTTGAAGAAACCAAAAAATTTAGGGGCAATTAGAGCTAGAAATTGGGAAGGAAAGAAGAAGGAAAGGATGAGAGGAATAGAGGAGCTACAGAATTTTCGTTTTGCATCAAAGTGTGAGTTCAAGAGGAGATTTCAATAAAGCCAATCGTTGGTTCGTCCTCAAAATTAGAAGACGTGTTTCATACTTTCTGGGATCCGATTAGATCGTTGGGATTTTCGTTACAATGTCTGGTTCGTTGGGAAAGATTGCTGGTCACACAAGGCGCAACTCTGTTTTCCTGTAGCTGGGCAATTGGTTCCAGGGAGGATTCCGGAGAAACCAACATTTGGATTGTCCCCGAACTTTGAGAGCTGGTTTTAAACTTATTTTAAGTTTGATTGACCTTTGGGATTGATTTTCTAACTTCTGGTTCATCAGAAAAGATGGTGTGAAATAGCTTGAAACTCATTCAACTGGAAACGTGCAAAAACGCGTTTGTGACCGTTTTTACCGCTTTTTTATACATTTTTACACATAATACATTTTTATATAGAAACTGAAGCGTTTTGTCTAGTCATAAACGTCAAAACGTGCGTTTTTACTACATTGGTCTCTCCTTCCTTTACTTTATAAAATATCAGAAATAATAGCATAGTTATTCTTCTAATTTTACCAACTATGTTAACCTAGAGAATTGGATAGGGTGCTAACATCCTATAGTATTAGTACCCCTACTAACTATTTTTATAAGGATTGTCTGGTAACTATCTCATCCTCTTGCCTCTTTTTCCCTTCCACTTTTACTCCTCTTCTTCGTGACCTAATTAAAGTAGGCACAACCGTAGTTGTAGGTAAAATTGCGGAAGAAGCTCTTCCTACCGTAGTGATTGGAGTCGGCAAACTTGGGGTTGGCATTGTTACTGCCTTTGATCTCCCATCATGTCCATAGTTGCTGAGGCTCTCCATTATTGTTGTTACTTCAAGAAGATTGAACTGAGGAGGTCATCAACGCCTTCTTATGCGCGATCGACATCCCATTATTGTTGTCACCGCAAGTAGCGATTTCGCTTGTCATGAGATCTCATCACGAGATTGCCTGCTAGTTGATGGTGAAAAGGATAAGGTGGTGGGAACTGGGAAGGATGGCTGGCGAACGATAGGTTGTTGGTGGAAAAGACACAGATTTATGTGTTTTTCTGTTTGTTTTTGGAATGGAGAATTTTTGGGGTGGTAATGGAATTTTGCTAGAGAGATCAGAGCGTATTATAGGTTGTCATGGTTTATAAAATTTTAGTGGGCATTTTCTTTTGCACTAGACCCTCTTTTCCTAATCTAGTCATATTCTATTTCATTCTTAATCTTAGTCAATCAAAGAAACAATCAATTAGAAGGTGTTTGGAAGTAGGAAACGAAGAAGCAAGGATTGAAGTAGGGGCAGAATAGAGAAGTTAAAAATGACAAAGCTTGTTCGATTTTGGGAGCTTGTAAGCTACTATTGCTGGGAAATGAAGCAATGAGGAATCGACAACGGGAAGAGGAGACAAAGCATGAGGGCTGGTTGATTGGTGACTCTACCCGAATGCACCACTTTAAAACTCCCAATTAAGGACCAAGTATAAACCTTAACTGGGTACAGTACAAGACAAGTATGTTTAAATATCGACCCGGGCCGGTTCATGTACCCCTACTTCGATTGCTTGAAACGTTATCTAGCGGTTGGTTTTTGGTGAAAACAACAATCTATAGCTAAAGCGATTGCAAAGGTAAAAGGATTTGACACTAATTGAGAAAGCTTCACTAAGGTGTTGCTCACCCTAGCTAAAAATTACGACTTATTGGTTCGAATAGTCGTGTGTGGTGAGGGGGTTGTAAACCGTAGGGAAGTGTAACAAGTAGCCAATGCCACTCTCTTAGTCTCTAGGTTAAGGGAAGGGGATATGATCCAAGGCTCTAATGTGACTCTCTCGACCTATTGACTAAGGGTTGGTTAGACTTCACCCTCGAATCGAAGTTCGGACGGCCACCCACAACCAAACCTTAGGTGCTAATACGAAATAGGAGGTTTGCCCTGCATTAACCTAAATAGGAGACAATGAATTGCCTAAGAAAACCCACCATTCAAGCTTCTTTCAAAGAAAGGAAGGGGGTTTTCTCTCTACCTAGGTTAGAATGGCAATTAGATTGGTAGGATTTCACACAACACAATCATTGATGAAAAATACCTCCACATTCACATTAAACACAACCATGGACAAATCATTCAATTTATACAAGCATTCACATAATTGTAGCTAGGTTTTACAAACACCCAAGTGAAAGAAGGGACTACTCCATGCTAGGAGAAGGAAAACACAATAGAGAAGAAGGAAAACCATCAAAGAGATGCTAGCCTTGCTCCTTGTATTGAAGAGATCTTCCTTTGGGGGGAGGAATTCCCAATTCCTTGCTTAAAGATGAAACCCTAGCTTCTCCTCTTCTTTGGTTCGTCAATTTCTCACTCTAGAAATTAGAAGAAGAAGAAGTTTCTCACACTAGGTCTCGGTCGACCAGTGTCTTTTCCGGTTTTGGCCTATGGCCAGTTTCGGTCGAAACTGGTCCAACCGACCAGTCATTTGACAACCTTGAAAAATGATAGCCTTCTCTTAATTTTCATTCTTTTTTATATTTTCTTTGGGCTAAATTGCAAGTTTGGTCACTTGAATTACTAGTAAAGTTCACGTTAGCCACTAGAATTACTTTATTCCATCCATAGTCACTTAAATTAGGTTAACATTTCAAATTTGGTCAGTGGCCGTTATTCCGTTAACTTTTGGTGATGTGGCAGTCAACTCTTATTATTGACCGTTAAATGAGTCACGTGTAAATTAAAAATAATAATAAATAATAAATTTAATTTTTAATAATTTCCACCTCATTATTACAATAAACTAAAAAATCAATAAAACAAAAAAAATTACACACACAACGTTAAATGAGTCACAAATATTTGTGGCTCCACCGTCAGCATCTCTTTGGGTCACCGGTGACGCCGCCAGTAGCATTTGGCTTTGCCGGAGGCGGTGTTGCGGCCCTCTTTGGGGATTTGGCGGTAGATTTTGACGGAGGGAGAGAGATGGCAGTTGCTCAGTAGAAAGACTGGTAGTAATGGGAAGAAACAAAGGGAGCATCAAGCAGAGATGTATATATCAAACAATGATGGTAAGGCGTCTGGGAGTGAGAATTAGCTACTCAGATATCATCCTTCAACGAAATATAATGCCTTTGCCCCTGTATAGCTGTGGAGAGCTGTCTCTTGGCACTTCAAGTGCCACAGCACCTAAGAATTTAATAATATAAAATTCAAAAACTCATTTGTGAAATCCAATATCTCATGGGAGATAAAGAGATACGATAAGTTTGAAAGAAAGGAGAAATAAAAGCAATTTTGTTTTATCAGATAAAGGAAAGGAGAAGATAAAAGCCTTCTCCTGACTCTTCATGCTTCCTTTCCCCTTCTTCCCCACGAAGATATCCACCATTGTTGCATTTTTCTTTTTTTTTTTCACAGAACATTGCCTTCTCATCATAATCCTGGATTCTCCCCCCAAACACATTCCCGTAAGCCTTAATTCCAGCCCCTTGCTCATGTAATCTTTTTCATCTCTTTTTTTCCTTGAGAGGAGCAAGTAGCCCCTTCACGAAAATGGTCGGGCTCCATTGGCGGCTGCCGGATTTCGCCATTGACGGTGAAGAAATACCTTCATTCACACCACCTCTCTAATCTGTAAGTTTGTTTCTTCTTGTTGTTGTATTTTTTTCCACTATTGAAGGAACCCTAAAATCTAACCAGTAGCTTTTTTTGCAGTCCAATTAAAGAGTCAACTGAAGCGAAAGAAGCTGGAAGTATGGAACAAGACACTATCATGGTTGAAGATGATGAAATCAATGATCGAGGTAATACTATTCAATCACCCAAGCAAAATGGTTGTAATAGAAGTGAATGGAAGTGGGTACCAGTGGTGGGTGTGTCCTATTCTTCAGCTGATGAAATCTTTGAGTTATATCAAGATTATGCTGAAGCAAAAGGATTTGCAGCAACAAAGGCAGCAACCCAAAAAAATAAGAAGGGAGAGACTGCAAATTGTAGATTTTGTTGTCATAGGGCTAGGAAACCATCTAACAAGTCAAAGAATCCTGTCAAACCAAAACCCAGCCATCGAATTGAATGTGGAGCTCGAGTTTGTTGTGCGAAGATGCAAGATGGTAGGTGGAAGATAACCAAATTTGTTGAGCAACATAACCATGACACCTTCAAAGTCTCGATTTTTTCGACAACATAGAAGCTTAAGTGTTGCAGTCCAGAGGCGTCTTGAGCTTAATGATTCTGCAGGCATTCGGTTGACAAAGAGTGTACGATCTATTGCTATAGAAGAGGGTGGATACGAGAATATGGGTTGTTTGGCAAGTGATTGCAGGAGACATGTGCAGAATGCAAGAAATTTGCGGTTAGGTGAGGGGGATGCTAGGGCGATGTTGAAGTTATTTGAGAATATGAAAAAGGAAAATGAAGACTTCTTTTATGCTTATGATTTTGATGATGATGGAAGGCTAACAAATGTGTTATGGGTTGATGCTAGAAGTAGAGCAGCATACAAGGAATTTGGCGATGTTATTACATTCGACACAACATATTTGTTGAACAAGTATAACATGCCAGTAGCTCCCTTTGTTGGTATAAATCATCATGGTCAATCAATATTGTTTGGTTGTGCTCTTGTGAGCAAGGAGGATACAGAAACTTTTGTGTGGCTCTTTAGTAGATGGTTGGAATGCATGAAGTCACCTCCGGCTACGGTGATAACAGATCAATGTCAAAGTATGAGAAATGCAATTGAAAAATTTTTTCCCGATGCTAGGCATCGTTGGTGTATTTGGCATATTCTGAAAAAGGTGCCTCAAAAGTTGGGGAGTCATGATATGTTTGATGAATTGTGCAACACATTGAAGAAGTGTGTGTATGAGCCTTTGAGTATAGAAGAGTTTGAGGAATCATGGAAGAACATGATAATTGAGTTTAACTTGGAGAACAATGAATGGTTGGAAGAGTTGTACCAATTGGCTCCAAAATGGATTCCGGTGTTTGTGAATGATACTTTTTGGGCTGGAATGTTGTCTACTCAAAGAAGTGAGGGCATGAATGCATACTTTGATGGGTACTTAAATCCAACATCAACATTGAAGCAATTCTTGGAACAATATCAAGTCGCCTTGAAGGATAAAATTGAGAAGGAGATGTTGGCTGATTGTCGTAGTTGTGTAGCACCAATTCAATGTGCATTGTCAATGGAATTTGAGGAACAATTTCAATGTATATACACCAATGAGAAGTTTGAAGCCGTGCAAGAACAATTGGTAGCTACAGTACATTGTTTTGAGAAAGTTGAAGATATTGATGGTGAGAGAACTACCTATCTTGTTCAAGATAGAGGTCGTGTTCTTTATGATAGGCTGAAGAAAAGGGAGTTCAAGGTGATATATGATCAGAATAGTGGAGATGTTTCATGCAATTGTCGAATGTTTGAGTTCAAAGGAATTCTTTGTCGTCATATTTTTCATGTTTTGATGAGAAACGAAGTGGAAGTCATTGATGCAAAGTATATAACTCAAAGATGGAGGAAGGACATATGTCGAGTATATTCCAAGATTAAGGTTGGTTATGTAGGAGAGGTTTCTAGTGGTGAGATGGATAGATTTGCATACTTGGATAAAAGATTGAAGAGATTGGCTAATAGTGCTTCTGAGCATGATGGAAAATTCCAGCATCTTGTCAATTGCATTCATGAAACTGAGAAGTTGTTTGATGAGTGGGAAGATGAGGTACCATCATCACAAGAAGCCACTTTTGTTAGTGGTGATCAATGCTTGGACAGCTCAAGAGCTCTTGCAGTTTTGCAAGACCCAGTTGTTGCACAAACACGAGGACGACCAAAGAGTAAGAGAATTCCCAGCTCATGGGAAGGAAGAAAGAAAAAGAGTAAGAGAGCAAGAACAACATTCCAAACTCCTACTATGAAAACTAGTGAGGTAAGATAATGCTTTAGACATTTCTAAAAGTTCAGAATTATTGTAGATTAGTGTTAAAGATCATGGATTTATTGTAGGAAATTGCTCGGTTGAATCTTAGTTCAAATGGGTTGCAAGCATCTAGTCCACCTTTTGGGATGCAGGTACTTTGACTTGAATTTCACTTGCTTTAATTGGTTTTGCCATTGCTGATTTGTTAGTATCAGCATAAGTAGAGTTTGAAAGTTACATTTTTTCAGGTTAGATCGGTATTTGGTATTCCAAATTACCCTTGCTTTGCTAGAAATGAACAGGTTTGTGATCAACAAGTTTTCCTAGGTGGCGGAGGTTCACACACTGAACTTTTGACAAGCATGCATTTGGGTCATAATTTCGTAAGTAAAAAAGTGTACTTTTGTTGTTTGAAAATCTTATATGTTGAAGCCAATTAGTTTTAACTCCTTGTTGTTTTGATATTGCAGAATGCACATTGACTATATAAGTGATTCTAGATGAAGGAAGTATATATTCACATATTAGCTACTAAACAATACAGGAGGATGCACATATTTTGACAACAGTGGATGGGTATATAATGAGTTTATTGTATACGGATGGTCTTTGGTTATTTTGTGAGACCAAAACCCGACTTCTTCCCAAAAACCCGGCCTCTCTTCCTAAAAGGCCGTATTTCCATGTGATTAACACAAATGCACGCCATGTCACGCTAAAACATTAAAACTCACGCATAAACAGACACTGTCACGCCAAGATAACACTATTCACGCATAAGCATACCCTACTCACGCATAAACATACATTTATTCACGTTAGTCTTGTAACTATTTACGCATATTCAATCTCCTCCACTATATTCAAATAAGATCAAGGAAAATTTCTTGTCTCTAGATGTGCCAAGAGACCAGACTCGAAGATCAATAAGGTATAACTATTCAACAACATGTTATAAGAACTCATAACATACCAAACTAATAGTCTAGTATGTTAGATAACATGCTCAACAACGCATTCAAGAGTTTAAGTGCAATACTCACATCGCATCGTCAAATATGAGTTACTCTATAGTTTTATATCAATTCAATAGCGTAATAACTTTTAAATATTAGTTTATACATTTCAAAAAATTACCCAGTCACGTCAACACTATCTATTTCACGCAAACATTATATGATTCACGCACATTCATCTCTAAAAACGCCAAAACCATATGATTCACGCCAATACCCATCTGATACACGCCAACACTATGTGATTCACGCAAACACATTCTCATTCACGTCAACACTACAAATCTTATTATCACCATGAGATATCTAGAATGATGTAACTCACTCTGTTAGATGCCCAACTACGAGGTTTAACCCATGATATGAAATCGAGTACATCCAAATTGCCAATTTCAGTTTTGATGATCAACTCCGATTCCATCCTTAACAACAAATGAAAAGTAACATTTAGTAAAAGATCCAAATATTAATAAATAGATCAATCATTGTAGAATGCAAAAAGAGAATTCACAATTACTTACTCCTTTGGTTTACTTTGTAAGTATTCTAATATCCTTTTTTCAGCTGTTGTATGTTGATTCCTCACCGTAGTTAGCTTTAAAATGAAAGGTGATACCTGACAACGGGAATTTTTAGTCCTTCTACGAGGTTTGCTGTGTTGTATACCACTAACTTCACTAAGACCACCTCCATCTTCATCCACCTTGGAACTAGTTTCAACCTCATCTTAAATACTAACCTCACAGTTCTCTTCAGAACTTTCCCTAATTGGAATACTTGTTCCACATCCACCACCACTATCGAGATTAGTGTGATTCTCCTCTATATCTCTTGCTTGTTGCTCTTGATCATAAACTATATTCTCATCAGCCTCTTTATCTTCCCCATTAGACTGTACTTCTTCCTCACCATCAACTCCAGCAGCTTGCTTCTCATTTGCTAGTTGGTCTCGATCATCAACTATATGTTCATCGACATCACCACCTTCCTTTCCATTGTGTCCCTTTAACATTAAAGAAATTGTATATAAATAAAAACACAACATGTATGAATTTCAAAAATTTAATTGAAACATGACATACACGCTCTATAATGGTTCTCTGACGATTCCTTCGAATTCTCTCCCAGTTTCCTGTACTGGTCATTGCCGGATGTTTTTCTCCATACACAACATGCCATATCTAAATATCAAATAATAGATTAATAACTAACATTTACACTATGTAGTAGAAACTTAATCAAGTGCAAGTTATAAAATACTTTACCTGACCATTGCCAAAGTCCTTACTCTTCCCACGATCAACCTGTATCACTAAATTCTTCTCTTCATTCCCCCAAACGGTTATTCTAGGACTTTCATTCCATTGAATGGCTCTCCCTATATCAATTCTATCAAAATAGAATATCTGCACAAGTAACATGCAAATATTAATATCATCATCTACTTCATGATAATATAATTAATCATGAACTTTACCAAAGTACTAACCTGCAACAGCACAATGCAACCACCATAACCGCCAACTTCTCTCGAACCACTCAATGCCTTTTCCACTTTTTTCGCACACTTACACAACCAACTAAGTACATATTCACACCAGTTGTACTCTTGTGGCTTCTTATAAGTAGCACCAACAACATGCAATAAAGAAGAACTAACGCTATTTCCTTGATTTGGGCACAAAAACACACCTAGAATATATAACAAAAAGTACTTGAAAAATTCTAACTTTGTTATCGCACCTTTCACTTTCTCTATCAAAGTTGCAAACTTAGGCCCCTTGTCATCAAATTCATTCACCAACTCTAACTTTGTATCATTCAAAGGCACTTCAAGGTCACCCTTTGGAATACCGAGAATCCATCCGACTGAATCATCATCGATACGATATTCGACCCCTTGACGTACCTCTAATTTTCGAGTTGTAGGATTGAATTTCCTCATCAACCATTCACATAATGTTTGATCATGCCTAAATTTCTTCATGTATAGCAACTCGCCGAAGCCCATTTCTCCAACCCATCCTCTCTTTTCCTCAGATAAACAACTTATAATTTCAATCACTTTCATTGATCTGCACCTCACATTTCCTCCTCCCTACATATAGATTAGAAATAATAAGGCACAAGACAAATTACTTTCACTAAGACATGTAAGGAAATCATTTTGTTAATTACCTTTCTTTGCCTTTTCTTACGAGGTTCAGCACTATCCATATTGGCACTATTATAACCTTTGGAAGAAAAAAGACAGCCCATCAATGTAGTTGGAGAAGACATACAATTTCAGTACATAAAACAACAAAATGATTCACAAGCTACTATGTAAATTGTAGATCACTTAAGTTTCATACTGTAATTCTTTATTGTTAGAGCTCTAAGTTGGGTAACAAGCTGGTAAAATACATATACCTAGCACATAAACATTCCCAAGTGGAACCATTTTCATCCAAACGATCGAAGTTCGTGTTTAGCTTATGATGTCTGTCATTATACGATGATGACATTGTAAAAAAAAACAATGCAGGTGATGATGGGGCTAATGACTGCTACGTGTGGAGCAGCAACAGCTATAGGACTTCTGTGAGAATGTTCCTAACTTCTGCCACAAAATGTTGGCTTCGGTTGTCTTGTCTTACATGGTTCTTTGCACTTACTTGGCTCTCACCTTTGTCTGTGCCAGCAAACTAGCAGCCTCTTCTTCTCCACACTAAAAACCCACATTGCCCTATATTTAACGCCCTACTAAACGTTTACTCTATGGTAAAGAGAGTTTGAGAGATTGTGAGTGCTTATGGGGTGTGGATTTGTGCAAGATTATATATAATTGAGTAATTAATCTTTCCCCTACTCTTCAATTCTTGCTTGCTTCTAATTGATTAACTAATCTCCCCCAACACAGATCGATGACTACAAAATCCCTAAACCAATAATTTAAAATCTTACCCTAAAACAATTTCAAAACAAATCCATAATGTTTCGCAAAACTTACCCACGAGCAGGGCTGGGTGGAACATGCAATACCAGGGGTTTCCGTTTGCCGTGATTGGGGCTGAACGTTTGCTGCGATTGGGGCTGAAGATGTTGGCTCTGATTTGCCGGACCAAACTTGCGGACGGGGTTCTCCCTACATTGCTTGTCCCCTTTCACCCCGATCTCTGGCGCCTTCACCTCCGAACCCGACGCCTCCGACTCCGGCGCCTTCGCCTCCGAACCCGACGCCTTCGCCTCCGAACCCGACGCCTCCGACTCCGGCGCCTTCGCCTCCGAATCCGATGCCTCCGCCTCCGATCTCCGGCGTCTTCACCTCCGACTCAAACGAAAGGAAAGCTTGCCTCTCCCTGATTTCCGTTTGCTTGCCCTCGCTCTCTATTGTCGTCTCCAGCGACTATTTGGTGAGGAAGAAAAGCAGTGGAAAGGGTAGTCGAAGAAGAGCAGTGGAAGAAGAGCAGAATCGGATTTCAAAAGGGAAAAGAGAAAGTGGATGGAGGATACGAAGAGGTGATTGGGGTAAAGAAAAAGTGCATTTTTTTAATTCAATGTATCTTTCATTTTCAATTTCTCTTCTTCACCAACATTCAATTTCTCTTCTCACCAACTCATATCTCTCATACAATTATTTAATACATTTTTCATTAGGTGTCCCTCCCACCTAACGTGCCAAGGAAAGTTTTCCATAGCTGTGAACTGGTGGACTCTTTTTTGTTAGTGTGCTGCCTTCTCACCTTTTGCTTAACCAGTTTTTATCCCTCGTATTCTTTTTGTATTCTTTTTTACTTCGAACATTCATTGCAGAATTGGCGAATACTAAGATGAAGAGAATGGAAAATAAAGTTAAGATGCAGACTGCATTGCTCAAGTTCATCACGGATTCCATAGCAATGAATTTTCTGTCTCACATCCACCAAAGGTGCTTAACATTTGACTTGGTCTACCTAGAAGATGTCGTGTCCACTTTTCGTCAATAACCAAATGAAAAATTCTTAACCTTCGATTTGTCAAAAGACATCTTTGTGTGTCTGAAGAGTTCGTTCAGTTATGCTGCCAAGTTGCTCAATCTCATTCTTAACAAAGCTACCCGCAATGAAGCTTTACAAGAGGCTTTCGAACTCACAAACACAACGTTCGATCTAATCATATGTGTTGAGTTACACTTCAGTCCTCGTGCATCGTCCCTTGTTGCAGCAGCAGCAGCGAAGCCTTGGATGTCTCATCTAACTCTTGCATTGGGATCTGGAACCTTACTCAGAAAGAGGGAAGAAGAAATTGCAAATCCTAGTGAGTTACTGCATATAAAGCTCCATTTCCCATCGTGGCTACTCATGCTAGCAAAGGCTGAGCTACATCAAATGAGTAAGAGGAGCTCTTGAGAAGCAGGAGGAAGATGGTAGCATTTCAGAAGGGCATGGGGAATTATTTCCTGCATTTGGAAGATTCATGGATATGGTGGTGACATTGGTTAAGAGCACATAGAACAGTAATGGATGCGGTTGGGATGATTTTCTTGACAGGGGCATTAGTTGGACTGGAAAGAAGGGATTCTGGATTGGTGCTGGGGATGTTGCACTAGGTTTGTGTGAAGTTGGTGGGAGACGACAGAGAATGGAGTCAACTTGATGCAATGTTGACTTCCCTCCCAGAGATTTTCCCGATAATCGAGAGACAGGTTGCAGAAGAACAATATGAGGAAGAGGCCAGAAAGGAATTGGACAAGGCTAAAGCATTCTTGAACCTGGTTGGTTGTATCATGTTTATGAAACTGGTAAGTTTTGTGATGCTGAGGAATAGAGGATTTTGCATGAACAACATTGGGATTACGCAATGTTTATAGATGGTGGGAGTCCGTCTGCTAGAAAGATTGTTTAATTTCCAGTATTCTACATATATATGGAAATCCTTGAGCCGTTTGGTTTCCTACTGGAGAATTTTTCTGCTCAATAACAAATCATTTTCCTTGTGGTTTCTGCAGCAAGGTACTAAAGTTGCTACTATCTCAAGTAGCTAATTTTGCTGTGAACCAGTAATTCTGAATTTCTCATACCAATGTCTCTCAAGTAGAAGCTCATCAAAATACATAGGCTAAAAAATCAAAATACTCCGCTAAAAATAGAAAAAGAACATAAAAGAAAAAAAACAAACAAGCATTTATACTCCATCAATCAAACCTGGTAACTTGAATCCTTCTAAGGATAATCTATAGAGTAATTTCTCTCTTACTTGGTCTACCCGCCACCAATAAATTTCCTCAGATATCTAAACTACATCAATAAGATATTACCTTTGTTCTCAAAATTGTTTCACACGGGAACCATCTTCAAGATAGCAGCAATCGGCATGCCAATGAATCCGATAAGCACACTAGCTCCCCATTGATGCGACGTCAGATGCGTTGTGTTAGCAAACGTTCCTAGAAACTCAATAATTATGATCTGGAAAGCTACAGTAGCACCCAAAACCATGACAAAGACATAGTTGTTCATTATGCCTCTGAACACGTTGATCGACTCCATTTCACGAGAGCTTATCTCATTGAAAACCTGAAACGATTTAGAAACCAACAGACCATAGGATAATTTATGTATTTAATGGGGAGAAAAGGACATCAACAAGCTCATTTGTTTAACCTTTTCCCTTACCTGACAGAAGACGAAGGAGTTGAAAATGATAGTGTTGAGAACAAGATCAGAATTTGGGCCTTCGAGCTCAAACATCAATTTCCCAGAAGCTTGGAGCTTCCATATTATCAAGAACTGGTAAAAAGATTGGCCTAAGATGTTTCTCCACATCACATTAGTAATGAAATGGCCCTTCCTTCCAACTGGTGGGCGTTTCATTAGTGCATTGTTTGGTGGTTCTGTTGCCAACGCAAGAGCTCCTAATGTATCCATTATCATATTTACCCATAACAATTGGACAGCTGTCAGGGGTGCACTTCCTGGAAATTAAGATATAGTTTCCATGGTTAGGTTTCTATTTTGACTAAAAAGACATTGTCTATCTAAGAAAAGTGGTTTTTAGAAATTTGTATTAGGGTTTATGTCTTGATTACCTGTCATGCAGGCTGAAGAGAAGTTAACTACCAAGGCAACCACGTTAACAGTGAGCTGGAACTGCACAAATTTTTGGATGTTGATGTAAACCGAGCGCCCCCATTTGGCTACTGTCACGATTGTTGAGAAGTTATCATCCAGGATGATCACATCAGCACTCTCTTTAGCAACCTAAACTTCTCAAAATTATGAGGTCAGACTCTAGAAGAACTCCTCATGTTTCCTTCCTTCACGCGAGTTCGTTGGTTACTAATTAAACGCAGATGAAATCACGTAAAAACTCACCTCGGTTCCAGCTATGCCCATTGCAAGACCAATATCAGCTTCATGAAGTGCTGGAGCATCATTTGTTCCATCCCCAGTCACAGCAACTACATCATCAAATGTGGTTCTCAAATGCTTCACCAGTGTGTGCTTGTCAAGAGGTGAAGATCGCGCCATCACCTGTGAAACAATGGGCTTCATTCAAAAATTTTACTAAATACAAGTGGGAAAAAAACCTTTTTCCTTTTCCTGCTCTGATCAACGATGGTATTATACATATTACACACTACACCTGAATCTTGGGAATCAATTCGAGCAACTCGGCCTGGCTTTTTTCCCTGAAAACTGGACCTTCAATAGCTATACCATCACTAGTAAGAATCCCACACTCTCTCGCTATCGCTTTAGCAGTGTTGATGTTGTCTCCTGTCACCATTCTAACAGCAATACCAGCTGCATGACAAACTGCAACAGATTCTTTCACCCCAGGCCTTACTGGATCCTTAATCCCCACGATTCCAATGCAAGTATACCCAGACTCTGGGATCGCATCATTAGGAGAAAACCCACCTTGCACTTCTTTGTATGCCAAGCATAGAGTTCTGAGGGCCTCACCAGCAAACTGATCGATTGTAGCCTGTAAAAATTTCAGAGATGAATCATCGAGAGCCACAATTTCTCCTTTCGCATTGATCACCTTCTCACAGGAGGCCAACACTATTTCCGAGGCTCCCTTCGAGTGAGCTCTCATTCTTCCACCTTCTCCAGGAAGCTCCACTATTGCCCCCATTCTTTTTTTGGTGGAGTTGAACGGCTCGAGCTTAACAAGCTTTACTGCTTCCCTCTCAGCCTGGAATTCCCCACCTAAGGATAAACCAAATTCGAGTATAGCCGCCTCAGTAGGGGTCCCCAAAATCTCGCGTTTCCCTTCTTTGCTCATCACAACTTCACCACCAGTGTTGTTGAATATCGATTGAAGCAATAACTTGAGAGCTGAATCATGGAGCTCGGATTTCAAGTTGGCAAACTTGCTCGGATTCCCAACTTCATGAACACTCATGCAAATGCATGATTTCACAACGGTCATGTGGTTCGTTGTCAAGGTTCCAGTTTTGTCACTACAAATTGTTGTAGCGGAACCCATCGTCTCACAAGCTGCAAGGTGTCTAACAAGTGCTTTGTCATTCATCATTTTCTTCATGGCGAATGCAAGACTTAAAGTCACCGCAAGTGGCAACCCTTCTGGAACCGCGACAACCACGATCGTGACTGCAATGGCGAAGTACTCGAGCATCTCCATTGCTTCGTCAGCATTCCAATCCACGTGGCTGCCATCCTTCCATTTCCTAACAAGCAGCCCTTGTACCAAAACTGCAAAAGTGATGACCGCAAAAAAGAGTCCAATCTTCCCAATAATGGTTGCTACTCCATTTAGTTTCACCTGCAATGGAGTCTCATCATCACCTCCTTCACTCAAAGTCGCCATTAGTTTCCCCCATTGAGTTCTCATCCCAACAGTTGTAATCAACATCTTGCAGGAACCATCTTGAACTTTGGTTCCGGAGAGCAGAAAGGGGGTTTCACTGCCCACCATAACCGGCTCGCTTTCACCAGTTAAGCTCGATTCATCAATCAAAACAGAGAAGCCCGAAACAAAAAGCCCATCTGCAGGGACCTGATCCCCTATCGCGAGATGGACAATGTCTCCAGGAAGCAAGTCGTAGATGGACATCTTCTGCCTGAACCCATTCCTTGTGACTTGGATGCTTATCTTCTTTTTCTCCTTGTCCAAATCCTTGAACTGTAGGGACTGGCGGTAGTCACTTGTTGCTGTTACGAACACGACTAACATTATACTCGCAACAATTCCAAGCCCGTCATGGGCTCCCTTGGGCCATCCTTCTGTAGCTATCCCAACTATTAAGGAGACGAAAGCACACACCGCCAATATCATAAGGGTCATGTCATGAAGGGCTTCCCAAACGAATACCCAGAAACTCCTAGATTCACTTTCAGCAAACTTGTTGATTCCAAAAAGCTCTTGTCTACGTCTCAATGCGTCGTCATTTTTAGGGAGGCCGTCGTTGGTTGAAGTGCATAGCTTTCGAGCTATCCCACTGACTCCTCCATGGAATCGCAACTTCTTCACGTCGTGGCCTTCAACGATGGATCCCAACTCATCAGCACAAATGTCGAACCCAGCTGCTTTCACTTCGGAAGGTACGGTGTAGTCACTTGGGGACACACCTGTAGAACAATTTCCATCAAATGTGTTGCAAAAATAACAACTAAATAATCCATTAAATCGAAGATTATTTCAGTTTGAGGGAGAGGGATAACTCACTGGAGATGAACTGAAATGCGGCTTTGGATACGAGAACTGCAATCCTTAACTTCTCCTGCAAAATATATGGCACTAAGACAATAAGAATCTTGATGAATACATTGGTTTTATTCTACCTATAATTGAAAAGCAATATGCAAATCAGGGGATAGATTGTATTGTATAAGAAACATTATGTAAATTGGCTACAATAATGAGACTACATTGTCAAAAAAGTTTTAAAATTAACATCCATCGCTTGGACAATTGAAAACACAAAGTAAAATAGAAAAAACATAAAAGAGACTGTCATAGTGAAGATAATTTTCCATCACTAAAAGTAATGTTTTATAAATGGGCTTTGCGTCTATTTGTGATTATTGTAACGAGCATGAGCTCTACATAATTGTGCTTCTTATTATGCTTTTCTGGCGTGTCACTACTAGTTCTGCTTTTACCAATGGCTTCATGGTTGTTACTGAAGCGTGGAAACTGTTACTAAATACTGACCAATAGCTATCAATGACCAATAATTATTTTTTCAGTAGATGAATTGTATTTTTGATAACACTTCACTTTATGTAATAAAATATTTTCAACTAGATGTAATTATTCAACCTTTTTTAATAAATTATTTATCATTAGTTGAAATATCAAACTTGTCACTCAAAATTTTTGGACGAATTGTGTTTTTAGGGAAATTTTATTGGACATAAAAATGTTTAATTTGTGCGAAAACTATTTTCAAGATCGAACATTGTTCAATTTTGTGACCATGTATGCTATATAACAATATTATACATTTTTACAATGATATTTATTATACACCTTTAATAAAATAAATTGGAGTAAAATTCTTAGACTTCTATGGGTTTTCACTTCCCATTATTCATTCAATGATCAATTAAAATTTTCATGCAACTATTATATAAAAAAAATTACAAGCAATTAAGCAAGGGGAAAAGGAAAAAAAGATGGACACGTGAAGATTAATTGCTTGCCTGGTTAGTACGACGCATAGCAGCAGCTTCAGATCGCTTGGAAATGTTGGCTGTAAATCTAAACCTTCTCTTGGGGTTCTTAACCACCCCACAAAGTTTCCTCCATTTTTGCAGTGTCTCATCGGGAGCGTGCTTGGATTTCACATCGAATGTATCATCCAAAAAGCTCTCCATTTTCCCACACTCGCCACGCCTGTCTTGTGTTTGATAAAATCCTTCAAACAGAATTAATATGAAATTTTTTCTCTAAACACCTAGTCAATTTTGGAACGAAAAGGGAAAAAGAATTCCAACCCTTTAGCAAATTCCCACAATTCTTCAGAATGCCATCAACTGTGAGGAAAATTGAAATGCATCATTGGCTACAATGTTCTAGGCAATTTTAGTGGGCAGTAGCGGTACGAGAAGATATGGGGTACCTAGACATGAGGAAGTTTCAAAGTGTTTTCTATTGAAAGAAAGTTAAAAGAGAAAACGACACGTGAAAAGGGATAGAAGAAAGCATTGGTTTCAAATTTGATGTTTTCGTAATTTATGTTGTCCCTAATAAGTCTATGATATGTGGAGAAGAATGAGCTAGAAAAATAGACTTCTAATGAAAGCGCGAGATTTTCTCAGAAGAGGACGGAACAGTCTCCTTATTGAATTTCAATGAAAAAATTAAATGAATTAACGGTTTCGGCCTTCTTCTCGCTTTCACATAACTATCATGAGCCAAGTCAATGGTTTATTTTCATTATTTTCACTTCAGTGACTTGTTGATGTTATCTCACTATTTCATAAAAACAACCTTCTGCTAACCTTTACATAAAATATCATGTCATACAAACATTAATGAGATCTTTTTTTCCCATTTTCCAATGAATGACTAGTTAATTTATGGCTCAAAGAAACCAACAAACAAACCCATAGTGTTCTTATAGCTTTTCTCGCTTATATGCACTGCTTCTCCAATAAAACAGGCAAATTGTGTGAAACAAATATGAAACTTGAGCTACATCTATGCAATCAAACTACTCAATGAAATGTGTAAGCCCCAAATCACAAGCCAAATAAGATATATACAATGCATAAAATTATAAGTAACCCTAGATTATAGTGATTGACACCTCAACCAATCTTCTTAGTGCACCTTTGACTCTGCCACATTGCTCTTACTACAAATATGTTATAATCAAACTCCAATAATAATCCCTAGCACCCTCATTGTTGCTTTCCTTGAAAGTTAGAAATAACAAGTTGTGACAAGAGAGGAACCTCATGACAAAGTTGGAAATAGAGATGGCAATTTGAACCCATGCCACCGGGTATTACATGTTATTACCCGTGAAGGGGCGCGTATTACTCGACCCGCAATAGCGGGGGGCGGGGTATGGGTATCTTCTTCCGATCCCCCATGCTCTGCTCCTCACCATTCTTGGCTCATTCCATCTCAATTTTTTACAATATCTATTCATATTTCTCATATTTTGACTTCATTGGCTGTGACAGAAGAAGCTGTTGTTGAGGAAGCATCCAATTCACAATGGTATCATATAATAAGTGAGAGTAGTTTTGTTTAGAAAACTATGAATTCGCTAAAATCTAAAATATCGGATGCATTCATTCCTAATACTCGCTTTTCAACTAGTTAGACTTGATCTTTCAACTAGTTAATCTCAGGTATCCATTATATTGTCAGTATTTTTCATTCATAAAGTCTTTTCCCTTCATTTTATTGTAAAAAGTAGAACTTTGCGTATATTTTTTTCAAATAACATGTAAGAGTGGGTCGACCCGCCTCGTCCCGTACTCGCACGGGTATTACTCACGCGGGTATTTCCCGCCCTAACTCGTGCTTGGAGCGGGGCAAGAATGAGTATTTAGATACCTACCTCGCCCCACTCGTTTGTCATCACTAGCTGGAAAAGTTGGGAAGTCAGCACAAAATTATGCATAAACTTGTTGAGAAAAGGAACATCTAATAAAAAGGTGCTTCTTAGATTCCCAATCCACATCACACAAACACCAAAGCTATCAACTTTTCCTTCGTAACTATTCAGTTCAACACCACCAGCCAACCAATGATCTTGAACTTAGGAATGCATAATATGGAACAAATAAGCCCATATAGTCCACATTAGTGCCCACACAATGGATAATATTCCATTTGAAAAATCTCCCTCTTTCAAGAAGAAAGGTTGGACCACATGTTGGATCTTCAGAAGGTGTCTTCAAAGCAAGAGGACCCAACATTACTCTTCACATTACAGATGGCCATACCTTTAAGTCCGAAAAGTTACTATTCAAATAACCCAAAGTGTCCCACTCTCCATCACTAAAAGCCATTACAACCATGTCGCACAAGATTGATTCTAGGAGAGAAGGTCTCACAAACCCAACCCACATTCATTCTTCAGAGTGAAAATCTTCTCCCAACTAACTTTTGCCTCAAGATTCATATCCATGACAAAGAAAACCTGAGAATTTTTTTTTTGATAAGTTTAACATACTTTTTGGGAGAACAAAGACATGCAACTAGTACTAAACACCCCGTAAGAACTGCAGAATCAATTTGGAGTCAACCAATGTAGCAATTTTTGTGCTCCCAACTAATATATTCACTTGTAGACAATTTAATAGAAATTAAAGGCAATCCTAGGTAGAGAACATGTAAGAATCTTTCAACAAATCTAGTTTGTTGCAATTAGTATGCTTGTATATTATCGACTCCCCCAAAATAAATTTCACATTTGTTTTTATTACACTTTAGTTTGAATAACCCTTAGAATTCTTATAACAAGATATTAACCTTTCCAACAATTTGAATAGATTCATGGTGAAAATAATAAGGTATTCAAAGAAAAAATGAGTTACTGATTTCTTATATTGTGGGTGGCAAGGAAGCTCTCTAACAGTTGCAGAGAATTTGGAATTGTTGAGAGAGTCTGCATTGCAGTTGAAAGCAAGTACGACTTATAGTTTTTTCCTTGGCCAAATCTTTTTTAATATTAATGTTAAAAAATAACTCACACAAGAACCTTCATTGGACAAATTTGAATCCAATAGACAAATGTTTACAAAAATCCCATTGCCCTTATTGCCTTGAAAAGAAAAGTCAAATCCACAAAGTCAAATACCTTAATAAAGATTAACTTCATTGCATATCGTGAGGGGATGAAATTTCTATATTGTCTGATGACCTCTTGGGTAGTCGTGCAAGTAATACCATAAGATGAGACATTTTGGGCGGTATTCCCTCAAGCTGGTATTCTTCCATACTCCATAAGAAAAGGAAATGTTAGTAAAAGGTTGTGGTTGATGATGAATCTTGAAAATTGATTTTTTCGTACCCTATCATTAGCTAAATTAATTATCTTTTGGTGTATCTTTTAGTCATTTTTACTATGGATTCGTTTGTGAAACGCAGCCAAATCAAATCATAACCAAACACAAAACACGGGATTTACGTGGTTTAACCAACGACAAATGTTGAGACTACATGACACAAAGGTGATTTAGGTTATCTTATTCAGAAATGTTCCAAGAAACTAAACACAGACACAAAGGACTCTATATACAAACACACAGCTGCACATCTCTTCTGCTACAACTCACATAATACATACTGGGAATTTACAATTTGATACCCGAAGTGTACAACTTCTAACACCCTCCATCAAATTGATGTTGCTGACGCAACATCAATTTGTGAGCCAGAAACCATTGACGAGTTGATGTCGCTGCCTTAGTCCACAGATCTGTAGTCTGATCTTCAGATGTAATGTAAGAAAGCTCAATGATACCCGCTGCTACCAAATGAGAATATAGTGAACATGTACCTCGATATGTTTCGTGCGATCATGAAGAATATGATTGGTAGCAATCATGATGGCACTCATATTATCAGCGTGTAGACGGATCGTAAGATGACACTGGATCCCAAAATCAGCGAACATGCATTGTAACCAGGCAATCTCCGAAGTCACTTCACACATAGAGAGATATTCTGCCTTAGTGGAGGATTTGGAAACCCAATCTTGTTTTCTGCAATGCCAGGAAACAAACGACTAGCCAAACTTCACACAACACCCAGATGTAGATCTTCTGGTGTCTAAGAAGCCAACATAATCTTTATCGGCATAAGCCTCAAGAACAAGTTCACCACCCGAGTGAAAAAAACATCCCCACATCAAATGTGCCACAAAGGTAACGAAGAATGCGTTGAACCGCAAGCTAGTATCATGTATAGACTAACGACCTCATAGCATAAGAAATATTGGGTTGAGTATTAGTTAAATAGATGAGGCTACCAATGATACTGCGATATGTTTTACCATTCGGCATCAAATCTCCTTCATCCTGACGAAGTTTCAGATTCTGTTTCATAAGAGTGCCACTCGGTTCACATTCATCCATCTGTGCTTCCTTGAGAATATCTGCAGTATACATACACTAACTCACATGAAGGCAAGTCGGAGAACTCTAAACCTCTAAGCCCAAGAAATAAGAGAGGTCGTCGAGTTCCTTAAGGTGCAAGGCCTCACGCGACGTGGTGGTTAAGGCCCGAATCCCATCCATGTCATCCCTAGTAATGATCATGTCGTCAACATAGAGTAATAACACTGTAATACCATGATCAGTAGTCCAAAGAAAAAAGAAGGATCATTATCTCTCTAAATAAACCCCGCCTGCACTATCGTAGCATAGAATTTCTCGAACCATGCTTTAGGCGCCTGTTTCAAGCCATACAAAGAACGACAAAGTAAGCAAACCATAGAGTTGTTACCTTTAGCATAACCAGGAGGTTAATCCATGTAGGTAGTCTCCCTGAGATCACCATGTAAAAATGCATTCTTCACATTGAGTTGTAATAGACGCCAGTCCATCATAGCCGCCACAACTAGTAAGTTGCGAACTGTTTGCATCTTGGAAACTGGGGCAAACATCTCATCATAATCCACACCATAATGTTGTTTAAATCCCTGAGCCACTAACCTTTCCCTATGACGGTCAATTTTCCCATCAAGAAGGAGTTTAATAGCATAGACTCACTTGCGGCCAATCACAGAGAATTCAGAACGACAAGGCATCAAGTCTCATGTGTGAGCCCTTTCCAAAGCAAGTGTCTCTGTGGTCATAGCCTGCTCCCAAACATCAATACCGCGAGCTTGCTTATAAGTAGCAGAAACAAAGTGAGGCGTTGTGGTAGAGTATGCCACAAAATCCATATGATGAGCAGGCAGCTGCCCTTGGTAGTCCGAATAGAATGACAGAGACCAAGCGGAGCTGCCTCGAATGGCAAGTTAGACAACCTGCCTAAAGGCGAGGAGAACGAGCTCGAGGAGGAGAGCTGGAAGTGGATGAATGAGAGGAGGTGCCGACCGTAGGAGGAGAGGGTGGACCGTTGTCATCCACTTCAGC